AGGTTGTAACATAACCTATATATTGCACAGGTTGCACAGGTAAGTGGTAGCTGGATTGCCTGAATGTTTTAAAAGGAGTACTAACCTCCTTGAAACTAGTCTTTGGGATGTGACTGAATAACTGAAGGGGAGGCCTTTTGTGGAGAAATTTGCATTCTCCTGCTGTCTCAGAGGCATCTACTGACTGCTTTACCTGGATGAGCTTTGATGAGACTTTGATTTAGTAAATAGCTCTGAAATTCCTTCACATTTCATGGTTGTCTATATATAGTTATTTATCTAGGGAGATAGGTTACTGGTAGTAATATTTCTAAACCAAATAAAATTTAAATATTTGGATAAGCTTGTAGAATAGAAATTTCCTATCTATTAAAAAAATAGTGTCTATAGTATCACTGTGAATCTTATATTGGCCAGCTTTTGAAATGTGTAATTTTAATTGGTGAGGAATATAATTTTCACTGGAGCAGCGTGCCCAGAGAAGTGGTGAAATCTCTATCCTTTTACTGTTTTCAAGACCTGACTGGACAAACGTTCTGAGCAACCTTATCTTGCAGCCAGCCCTGCTCTGAGCAGCTGGTTGGGCTAGAGACTGCCAGGGTGCCTTCCAGCTGCACTTGTCCTGTGCTCATGCTTGTCAGTTGTCTTACTCAGTGATATTCCAGCACCATCTGCCATGCTGACAGGTGTTTTAAGCAATAGTCCTCAGTGTTAAAGAGAACATAGCCCTATGGTTAGTAACAAAGTTCAGGTTTCAGACTCGGAACTCTAGGTTCTGTTGCAAGTAATATAACTTCTTTGCCTTTTTGAAAGGAAGCTGCAGATTCCAGCTAGTTAAAGTTCTTTTAAAAAGGCTGAGGAACTTTGCTTCTTTCAAAGGGACTCACTATGAGACACCTTGATTTTTACTTGAAGATTTTGTGGGGTTTTTTTCTAAGGAGGATCTCAGCTAAAAGCTTGACTAGTGTTCAAGAAGGTGAAAGGATGACTTTATAACAAGTATATGGATTTTAACAGAAAGAAAGAAACTTATCTTTTCAATTTATATAAATATTTTAAGTTCTTTGTAATGTCTATGTTCTGATTTGCTGGTTACATTGTTAGCAACATATTAGGTTTAGTTACATATGTAGGTTTTGAGCTACTCAGGGGCTAAGTTCATCTCGGTTCCAGTGTCTTCTTGCCTGTGAAGCTTTGAGTCAACAGATGCCTTCATGAATGTTTGCATTGACAACTTTTTGTTTAATTCAGATCACTTGCTTTGTATTAATTCCCACAGCCTTTGCAGTCTACAACACTCTTGTTTTATTTGCAGATTGTCATAAGCATAGGACTCTCGTTTTATGTCGTTCACCGGGCTCAAGTGGAACTCAATGCAGCTATTGTAGCGTGTGAAATGGAAATGAAGACATCACTTGTTAAAGACACTCAGCCAACCATCAATGGCTCAACCACATACTGCAACAAGAGGACAGTAGCATTCTCTGGAGGGGGTGTCAATATTGTGTGATTTCAAGTATTAATGACTAAGTAAGGTTTTGTGAACCTGAGCTAGAAAAGTCTTGAACCTTGCCTAGAAATATATATGGACAATTGAAATAGATTTTAAAAAAATTACAAGTGATTACAGGTTGTACTGTGGCACAAACCAGCTGACCAGCTCTTTAATTGCACATGGGGTGACTTCTGGCAAGACAAGGAAGATGACAAAGTAACTTAAGATGTAAATGCAAATTTGGCTGCACCTTTGGTCATTTATTATGCCTGTCATGGCCTGTAGTCTGCACTTTAGTTTTTTTTCCTTTGCTTCTATAAACTGAGAAATGCTTCTATAAACAAAAAAGTAGCACAGAGGTAAATATTTTTCTGCTTAGCATTATTTATAAGGCTAAATAATTATATACAGTAGAATTTTATTACTGATAAAGGTGATTGAGAAAGTATGCAATTCAATGTATGTTATTCTTGAATGTGCTTTTGCTTTGGAATTGCTTCCAGAACTTGGAGTGTATTATTTAGCTAATGATGGGACCATTTGGCTTTTTCTTCATTTTTGATTTAAAAAAAAACAACAAAAACCCTATATAAAGTTTCGGTTGAATGTATTTTTCTAAGTCATTACAAATGTTGCAGAGCCATGCAAATGTATTCACACAAGCTTAAATCCTACATTGTGGGACTGAAGTGCTCTTAAATTACATTTTAAGTTACACTGTGTAATATGCAAAGTACAAGAGAAAATGCAGAAGTTAGATTACAATGACTATTTGAATGACACTTAATTGGTTTTGCCACCTTGGTTGTTGTAACAAAGGGCTGTTCCACGTTAGTCCTATATATGATATTTTTAATTGTTAAAAGGATGAAGTTTTTCAGCTCTCATGACTGCATGTGATAAGGCTTCTAGAACAGGGAGCTAAATCTCTGTTCTAAGCAGAATGATTGGATATTAGCTGTACTAATTTTACAAGAAGGTGGCCTTTATTTTGTAAGTGAATCCCTTTTCCCTTTAAAAAGCTTTAAAAATTCACTTTGGTTGGCACATCTTTTGTACTAGTTTTACATTTTTTAAAAGACGCAATCTATTACAAATTTCATCAGAGTGAAGAAACAAAAACTTAGAGGTTCTCCTTGGAAAAAGAAATAATCCAGTAGTGGAAAGGACAGCAATGTCTCTGAGACTCAGGAATTCTGACTCCATTTTTGCAAGACAACACTGTATTGGATACTGCTCCTTTTACACCTGCTGTGGACTTTTTTCACTGCATTTAAATAGACTGGATAACCTGACAGTAACTGGTGTGTGTCTAAAAGAAAAACAACAATAATGCCTGAACACAATGTTCTGTATGTGTGAGTTTCATGTAGATATACATACCAATGTTCAATGGCTCAAACACACGCAAGTCATCTGATACAAAAATAATGTAAAGTATGGCTTTTGTAGTTATTTTGTGTGAAAGAATGCTTTCAGTCTTCAAAATTTTATGTTATTTTCTAACAGTATGATTGTGCCTCCTTTTTGTAAGGTTGGTTGTAGGGTCCAAGCATTTTTGTCTTCTTGAGAATAGTGGGTCTTTAAGGCCATTTGGAAGCAGAGATGTGAGAGCCTCTAACAGCCTTACTGAGAGGATGTGTGGCACTCGTTTAACAGCATCTGCGCACTCCTTCGTAGTGGGAGTTCCATTTTGTATCCTTTGCAGATTGGTGTTCTTGGGTCCTGCAACCTAAAGAACTGAACTAGTTCAATGAAAGCAACAAAGTTCAGATTGTCTCCTTTCTGTTGTTTTGGGGCTTGGTTTGGTTTTTTTTCAGTTGGGGGTTTGTTTGGTTTTTCTTCGGTTTTGGTTTCTGCCTTCATTTGGTTTTGGGTTGAGTTTTGATTGGTTGGTTGGTTTTTGAAAAGGCAATCTGTATATACCTGGAAGTGTTCATTTACACATCTCTGCCTCTGACAGCTCCTGTGTGAAAACAAGAGAGCCAGATAACTTCTCGATGGCGTTATTTGTCATCATAGTATAATTGAGTCCTTTCTTAACTAAAGAGGTTTTTTTTTTGTTAGTTTCTTGTAAAGAACAGTCCTTCAGTGAACTGATCTGAACTTTGCTTCATCTTGCCAAATGAAAAATTTTGTTTTGAAGAGGGTATCTCTTTCTTTGCATTTTTTAACTAACTTAAGGTTGCGTTGTTTATTTGAAACATTTCCCAAATACGTATTTTGAAGTGCTTTTATTTCCATGACATTTTGTAACCAGAGTAACTTCACTATGTGAACACTTTTGTAGTATGAAATTAGTTCTTAAGACTTTTGCATTTTGCTTGATACTTGTAATATTTGTGTACAAGTTAATGGGAAATGTGCATTAAAAGGAACTTTTCTGTACCATGCCAATCATAATTTTATACAATAAATTCACTCAAATTTCTTTAAAGGAATATGTATGAAATGTTTAAGTTGCTATGATGTAGTTGGAAAGAAGGTCCAGTGGAGTCTCATCTTTATGCAGCCATACAAAGATAATTGTCTGCATCAAAGGAGAAACAGGTTAGACTTTAAGGATGAATTCCATGGGTGGGGAGTCACTGGCAAGGGAAATAGACTTGATTTTTACTTTTGTTTAATTAAATACATGCTTAATTCTATTAGACACTTTAGAGGTTTGGTATTTGCCACTGCCTTTTTGATAGAGGAATAAGAATACATGTGCTTATGAGAAACATGCTAGAAAACTGCAAGAGAATTGATATTTCTGAACATAAGAGCAGTAAAAGTGATGTAATTATTATTTTTTTTTAAGATAGGCTCCCTACCTAGTCTAGTTGAAATCCACAAAGGTATGAATCTAATTTAAGCAGTACATGGCAAGTTACCTTGAAGAATATTTTCTGAGTTGTCACAGTGGTGACATTTCTGCATTTTGTATATGAAAGATACCTAAAGGGCAAGTTGAAAAGAAAGAATCTCAGCTGCATGGCACCGGTTTTCCTTCTGCCTTGTGGTAAGTGCAACTGTGCAGTAAATTTGTCAAAATATAACTTATAACTAAGCATCTGTGAGAAAAACGTTTTTTAGTCACAGAGCTTTATATACTATTTTCATACTGATTTTTGCACAATAACTTGAGCAAGCATTGCTGAGGTCAAGTTTGAAGAATGGAAAAGCTGCTCTTAGATGGTGTGTGGCTTTTGTCCCATACCAGATCCTTTGTATCCATTTTCAGCTTTCCACCTGAGGCTGATACAATTTGGATTTTGACTGACTGAGATAACTGGAGTCAGTTGTCTTGCAAGTTATCAGGGATACAATGTGTAAGATTGCAAAAGCCTTCCCATTCACATTGTGGTCATTTTTAAAGGCACAAGGAAAGAACTTGGGTAGCTCTATGACAGGCTTTCTCACACTAATTCAAGGTTGGTACTAACCTGTCTGCATAAGATGATGGTTTGGGCATGAGGGGATAGGAGTCAATTGCAGAAGAGGAGCTGATGCAAATTCTGGCTCTGCTGTGCAAAGCAGCTTGTCTCTGTCCTCTCCAGTCCTGGAGAATTAGTGATGTGCCTGGCAGCATAGAGATGATGAATCCAACAAATTCTCTCTTCATGGACATTAGCATTTGTCTTGCACTACCCTGCTGTATTGATTTTTAATTCATATTAATTTATTAGTGATCAGTAGCAAGAAGCTGAGTCTGCAGTGTCAACCCTGTCCCTTTCCTACTACAATATATCATCCTGGTGTATTGCTAAACTTAAAATTACATTTTAATGAAGTCTTAAGTTCATTAGTGTAAGTTAAATCCTTCTTGCTAGCCAAGTGACTAATGCATAGTTGGTTGGCTCTGGATTCTCGATTCATTTGGGAAATTAGCTGGGCCAGATTTGCTGTTGTTGAAGTGAAAAGTCCTCTAACTTTCCTTCTAATTATTTAGAGCTTCCAATGCATTGCTAAAGAAATTAGCAGAGCAGGCTTAATGTACTGGGGGTTTTGCTTTGTTTTAGAACAAAAGTCATTGGCAAGATAGCTGAAGGGTTTGTTTTGCCTGATCCTGAGATGAATATTAGGTGTCTTCCTTTTCGGGAAGCAGTGTTTCCAAGATGTAGCCCACATAAGCTTATGTCAGCAAAGGTAATTAAGTTCTGGCTTTGGTGAAGAGGATGTAAAACTTGGATCACCTAGTCAGTGTGACAAGTCTTTTTTTATCGTACAATCTCCAGCCCAGCACAGTTTGGCTTTGGTGACTGCAGTGCATTGCTTGCCATCCCTCCTCTGCAGGAGGAAGAATTTAGAAAGCTGCAAGTTGTTGAAGCTGAAGGGGAAGAAATAATCATCTGAGCACAGTGGACACAGTTTGAAGAGTTAAATTAACCATAATGTTGCCTGACCTTTGAATACACCTAAGTGCCTTGGTTTTGTAATTGCCAAATCCTTAGGCAACTTCTGCTTCTTTCTCTTCTAGAGAATTCTAGCATGCTTTGACTTTTAGACCTCTTAACTTCTGAAATAATGCTGACTTTTCTGTAAATTAGAATGGTTTAGTTTGTCCCAATAACAGGGTGAGATCACCTGGGATACAAATCTGTGTACCAAGCGGCGTTCGTGCGTGAGCTCCCTTTGCTGAATGTGAGGTGTTACCCTGTGTTCCCTGTAAGCTGCAATTGTTTCCCTTAAAGTCCATGGGTGGGTGGGTGGGTGGGAGGAAGGACGGAAAAGCCTGTGGTGATGAACTATTCTAATAACAAATTTTCACTGTGCTTTAGAAACTTGATTGCTTAAGATGTGAGAAATGGTAGGTGGTGAGAGGAATAGACTAATGAATTCTCTGATTTTTGTGAAGGAGTAACAATTTGCTTGAATAGATGATGAGGTACACAGATGATAGAGGGTTGTTTTTTTGGGGGTGGCTAGGGGTGGGGGTGGTACTACTAGATGTAAATAACACTGAAATGGCATCAGTATGAAGCTTTAAACCTTGACTTTTTATGCCTGTTTCAGATGTCTTTTACAGCTCTGGGGGATATGCCTCAGGAGAAGCTGGAGTAAACACTCAAAGAAACTGTTTCTTAGATTCTGGAGAGTTGCAGGATGCACACCTCTGCCTCCAGGGCCTGCTTTTTTAACTTGAGCTAGAGAAGTCCAAACCAGAAGCAATGGCTAGATCTCATCAAAAGTGGAACATTTATCACTGTCCTTTTGATGTCTTATGCAGCAGCAGCACATGGCAGATGGTTTGCTTGCCTTTTTTCCAAAGCTTTGCTCTGCTTTGCCTGGCACAGGTGGTGGCTGGGGGGAGGAAGAGCTGTGCACTTGCCATTTGCTTTTCTATCAGCTAGGGAGGCAGATTGCTGACCTGAAGCCAGAGTTTGCTCTGTGTCTTTCATCCCCAACCACTGTGAGTAGCTTCCTTTCCCTGTGATAAAAAAAAAAAAAAAAGACAAAACCAAAATAAATAATAAAGCCACCAAACACTACCACTCAAACAAGCTTCAGAAATGGTAAAATTAATACCAGTAAATGAATATTCTATATATTCTCTCATGGATGTAAGTTGAATAATCTCTTCCACTCTCAGCAGCTCCTGTGTGAAGTTCTTCACTCGGTGAGCTTGTGAGGGACCGTGCTGTGGTAGCTGTGCAGGGATTTCCTTGCAGCTGAAATTGGATAGAATCACTGATTTCCTACCATTCTCATGTGGCACTGAATTTTAGGGTTTCACAGCTGTGGAAACCATAGCCATATGCACATGTGCAGCTCCAAGGTCATATAGGTTGGTGCCCAAGCATTTTGTGTTGCATTTGTGTTGTGTTTTGCGGGAAGGCTGCAGTGGTTGTAACATGATGTGTGTCTTTCCAGGTTTTAGCCAGAGCACAGTTGATTTTTGTGCAGTGAGTTGAAATGTATTTCTCTGAGTACAGCATGCCTCTTTCCCCCTGCCCCCACAGCAGCCACAGCAGTTTATCAGATGTGGTATGGTTATCATTTGGTTTGCAGGCAAATAGAGGACTCTGCTATGTATACGTGCTGGTCCATCATTGAACTGATTTTTTTTTTTTTGGTGGCTGTCCCCTTTCAGCTGAGGAATCTATCTGTCTTTTTTCCACCTACATCACTCAGTCTAATGACAGACATTCTGTCTTCTTGCAATGGATGCTTCCTTAAATTAAGTTGGGTATGGTAGTGTTCTTTCAAACAAGCTTGGAGGTGGGAAAATGGCAGGGTCTGAAGAAATAACTCTGGACTCCTCAGAGCCCTGGCATTTGCAATGGAGAAAAGTCTTGTAGTAATGAGTTTAAAAAATGTTTCCATAAAGAACACACATGCTGCAGCAGTTTGAGAATTTAAAATTTAGAGGAGGAAGGGGAAAGTTGCAATTAGTGAAAAGAATATTAGTATACTTAGCAGGAGGTAAAAACCCTGGCAGCTATAATTAGAGGACTTTTTTCTCTCCTTTTCAGTGAGTCATTCCATAAAGAATGTATTAAATGTATTTTTTAAATCCTTTTTACTTGTTAAAACCCAAATAGGAAAAGGAAAGGGAGTCAGAAGAATATATTAACAATGCAGAAAATGCAGACTCATGAAGATTATTGAATATTAACCTTGAGACAAGGCAGAATTTGGTTTTTTAAGTGACAGGTATGTTGGTACAAATCTACTTTTCTTCATTATATCTGCTCTGATAAACAGTAAAGATACAGGAAAGCTAGCCATGGGTAGATTTGTATCACATGGATTATATTCTCTTGGAGAAAAGTCCTTGAGTATTCAGGTATTCATGTGTATTCATGTGTTCAGGTATTCACAGTATTCATGTGTAGAGCAGAAGTATCTGGTGTTCTCTTCTATGCTCCATG